GTGAAGTAGGGGGGGGGGGGGGGTTTGAAGTTGTCGCTAGGGCGACTAGTCTAAATATTACAGTTGAGGCAGCTAGCTCAATAGATATGTGGTTATTTTTAAAGACGTTGACATTCCCACAAATTCCCCTACCCAAGTGTTCTCCTTATTAAAAAACTCCACCTCCCCTCTCAGTGCGTATATAATGTACGAAGGATGGTCCAAACTTGCCAGATCTTTATTAAAAAAGGACTCAAACTCCATCAATCAAAATTATTTAATTTTTTTTTAATAAGAAAAATTACCCAAATACTTTTCCCCCTGCCTCTGAAAATCGTAGTTTTGGCGGGTCTCGGCGTACAATCGTAAAAAATCTAAAAATCGTACATTGTACACCAAAATCTTAAGAGTAAACAGGTCTGCATTCTAAACGAAGTTTTGTTACAACTTGATAAAATAGGAAAATATAATATTTTTTTAATCTATTGTTATGACATCGATCTTTAGTTTATGCGTGTTTGCACAGAATAAACATGACTGTGGTTTCTGACTACATACTCAGTTGACACAGTGTTTCCAACCTTTTTCTAGATATTGCACATACTACAAATAATTAACAAGTCTTGCACCCCATCTGAATTGTGTGAATTAAGTTTTTAACATTTTTTAATAACGGACTTTTGATCTATTTGTTAAAAGACAATGAGAAGTTTAGAACTTACAAGATAAGCCCAAAACAGAAAGTAATGTTTTCATTATTTTCAATGAAAAAGTTTTAAAATTTATAAACGTTAATATGATAAATTTAATGCTAATGTCTTCTATTATCCTTTTTTATGTCATCCCCTAAAATGCCACCTCAAACCCCAGGCTGGGATCCCCTGCCCAACTCATGGCTGTGAGATAGTCGAATTCAAAGATATCGAGTCCAAGGGAAACCCAATACTGCAATATAATATATCAAATTAATAATTAATTTATTCTGAATAGTCATAGTGTACTTACATTTTGGAGATATCTGAAAATCAAGTTCTTTTAAATAGTTAAGGAATTTTATTCATATTCTGATAGATAACCCTTAAATTAACATGCTGCTTTGAACAGAACAAAATAGCAATCACATGAATAGGTACTTTGACACAAAATTTAAATATTGTCTGATTGCCATGAATGATACATCATTTTAAAGGGCTAGTTGTAAGCTTTACAACAACACCAATTTCATCTTTCTGTCTTTTATAGAAGTGAAGTTATGATTTTTTTAGTCAAATTTTTTTGCCCCTTATATAATCTATATATTTTACCCCCAAAGTTCACATTTCTGCATAATTTTGCCCACAACATTTTTATTTTTAAAGATAATTGCACCAAATTTTCAGGTGACATTCCTAATCTAATAACCAACACAACGAACAATATAAATTTTACATTACATCAAGACTTTTTATTTTGGATAATTTTATTCCAGGTATGTTGAGAAAATCATGTGTCAAAAAATTTGGAAAAATTATTAATTGTAAAGGCAAAAACAAAAGAAATTACATGTTGATTGTATTTAAACTAAATTTATGATTCAGTTATATTGTAAATAAATTCTTATCTTTATAAAAGGTAAGTAGAAGTCTTTTTTACTACAAAATTAAATGCATGAAATTATAAAAACTATTCAAATCAACCACCACGACACTAATATATGAGCATACAGGTATGTGATTAAATTTTAAAAGGGAATGGGGCTGTTCTGCCTATTATTTTCTATGTAGACTCCTTTAATGTAAAGTTTACAGACTTCTTGGTCTTGTTGATGAATCACAAAATTTCTCCTTCATAAACTTTGTCTTGAGACTTCTTCTTCTTATATTTGAGGGGCCCACGATCAATTTGTTGATCATTATGGCTCCTGGTTTTAATTCAGAGTTTGCCTTCTCTTAGATGGGTTGCCGTCCAAGGCTAACGAGTCCCATCCACCCGGGGTGCTGGGGATGTTGGCTTTAATGGGGATTGAACTCCGGACCACTGGCGCCACTGCTATTTGGTTTGAGACAGTTTAGACCGCTCGGCCACCCAGCA